GATGAGGAAGATTCTGAGGACAAAGAGGAACCACATCAAAGAAACGAGATCGAAGTGATCAAGGAAGAAGCTGAGATCTCGATGCACGCCATGGCTGGGGTCAAAGGGCCAAGGACGATGAGGCTACCCGCCTGGGTCAAGGACCGACGAGTGATCGTGCTCGTAGACAATGGGTCATCACATAACTTCGTTAATGCCAACTTATCCAAGAAGCTAAATCTAACAACCACGAATATTGAGCCCTTTGAAGTTCGAGTAGCCAACGGTGAGAGGCTTCAATGCACTGAGTCCTTTCGTAGGGTACCAATCAAATTCCAAGGAGTTGTCGTGGAAGCCGATCTCTATGCCCTACCCTTGGTTGGACCGGACGTTATCCTAGGAGTTCAATGGCTAGAGGGGTTGGGAAGGGTGACCACAGACTACCGTACCGGAGTCATGGATTTTAGATCTGGGTGAAAGCGGGTCACTCTCAAGGCTAGAGAAGAGAAGGTTACCAAGGAGGTTGGCCTGAAGAGAATTGAAAGAGTTTGGCGAGGCGGTGGCCAAATTTTGGCAGTAGTCGTTCAGAACACTGAGGCGCACATGGTCGAGAATGAGCAACAACAAGGGTATGTGCGCGAGCTTCTCGAGGAATTTAAAGGAGTACTGGGCGAACCTAAGGGACTACCACCTCACCGGGAGTTCGACCATAGCATACCACTAGTCAATGAGCAGCATGTTGTACACGTTCACCCCTATAGGTATGCTCACTTTTAGAAAACTGAGATCGAAAGACAAGTAGCTGAAATGTTGAAGTCTGGGTTAATTCAGCATAGCTCGAGCCCATTTTCATCACCAGTATTATTAGCTAAGAAGAAGGATGGTACATGGAGGTTTTGTACTGACTATCGGGCTCTGAATGCCGCGACTATCAAGGATCGATTTCCTATTCCTAGTGTCGACGACATGCTCGATGAGTTGGAAGGATCACGCTATTTCTCAAAGCTCGACCTGAGAATAGGTTATCATCAGATCCGACTCCACAAGGCCGACATTCCAAAGACAACTTTTCGTACACATCAAGGGCATTATGAGTATTTAGTTATTCTATTCGGGATGTGCAATGCTCCATCTACTTTCCAGTTTGCTATGAATTCTATCTTCAAAGAATATCTACGTAAGTTTGTCTTAGTATTCTTCGACGATATCTTAGTTTATTCGAAGTCATGGGTGAAACATCTGGAGCATTTGAGAGTGGTGCTCGAAGTCTTGGAGGCTAACTCATTCCACATCAAGCCGTCCAAGTGTTCTTTCGGGCATGAGATGGTTGAGTACCTAGGCCACTTTATATCCTACGATGGCATGAAGGTTGATCCACGGAAGATAGAGGCTATGGTCTACTGGCCTAAGCCAATGAGTCTCACGCAGCTCCGAGGATTCCTAGGGCTCACGGGTTACTACAGTAATTTGTGAAGGATTATGGGACCATCGTCAAACCATTGACGGAAATGACCAAGAAAGGTGGGTTCATATGGACCAATGCTAGCGAGGAGGCATTTGAGAAACTGAAGGGCGCTATGATTACGACGCCAGTGCTCGCCATGCCAAGTTTTGATGTCTTGTTCGAGGTACACATAAATGTGAGTGATATCAGAATTGGAGTTGTGCTAGTGCAGTAAGGACGACCCCTAGCCTATCTCAGCAAAGCACTAGTCACAACTCGGTTGGGATTATCTGTGTACGTAAAGGAAATGCTAGCAGTTGTCGAGGCTGTAAGATATTGGAGGCCTTACTTATTGGGGCGTCGATTCCGAATTGTGACTGACCAGCAGCCACTCAAGCATCTACTCGAGCAAAGGATTGTTACTTTTGAGCAGCAGAAGTTTGTCTCGAAACTGATGGGGTTCGACTTTGAGATAGTCTACCGGCCAGGTCGACAGAATGTTGTAGTTGACGCCTTATCCCGATGGAAAAACGTAGCAGAGCTTGATTCTATCACCGGACCGACGTGGACCATCTGGCAGGAAGTTCGAAAGGCGCAAGAAGAGGATACTTATTGCAAAGAAATGCGCCGAAAGATCGAGACAGGAGAAACCATTGCTGATTACGAGCTGCACAACGGCCTACTACTACATCGAGGCCGAGTATTTGTTCTTGACAATGGACAGCTACGCGAGAAGATCAAGTAGCACTTCCAAGATTCCAAGATTGGAGGACACTAGGGTATCTACCGCACATAGATGAGGATAGCCAATACCTTTTTCTGGCCAGGGAAACAGAGCACGGTTCGGTATTACATTGCATGATGCGATGACTGTCAGCGCACTAAGGCTGATTCACGCCGACTAAGCGGGCTGCTGCAACCACTACCAATACCCGAGCCAATCTGGGAAGACATCACCATGGATTTCATTGAAGGGTTGCCAAGTTCCAATAGGTTTAACAGCGTAATGGTCGTAGTGGACCGACTTACCAAGTATGCTCACTTCATACCCATTAACCATCCCTACACAGCCAAGTCTATCGCCAGATTATTCATCGAATATGTAATGAAGTTACACGGAGCTCCACGATCCATAGTTTCCGACCGAGATAGGATCTTTATGAGCAGCTTTTGGTTCGAATTCTTCAAACTGTAGGGGACCAAACTATCCATTAGCTCAGCATATCATCCCCAAACCGATGGGAAAACGGAGGTAACCAATCAAACCCTACGGTGCTATGTTCATCAATTTCCGAAGAGGTGGGAAAATTTTCTGCCCTGGGCTGAGTACTGGTACAATACTACTTACCATGAGTCGACCAAGATGACTCCATTCGAGTTGGTATATGGGCGTAAACGGCCAACACTGATCAACTATTCAGAGGGAGGCACGGTCAACGATGAAGTCGGTCGAGAACTTGAGGAGCGAGATTTGATGTTGCGAGAGTTGAAGAAAAATCTCAAAGGCTCGATTAATTGAACCAAAGCCTTCGTAGATGGAAAGCGATGAGAGGAGAATTACGCGCCAGGCGAGTATGTCTACTTGAAGCTGCGACCATTCAGGCAGCGCACAATAGCTCAAAGGGCAGCAACTAAGCTAGGAGTGCGATACTATGGGCCTTATCAGATTCTGAAGCACATCGGTCAAGTAGCTTACCATTTAGAACTACCTGAAAGTTCTTAGATCCATCCAGTCATACACGTCTCTCAACATAAGAGAAGTTTAGGAGAAGCGCACAAGTGGTGCGAAGAGTTACCAGCAACTGCGACTGATGGAAGGGTCATAGTACGACCAAAACGTGCAGTGGAGTCCCTCAAAGTC